ATGTGAAACACTGAATTCAGCATAAGCAAATCAGATGAGAAACAGGCTCATGCTAAGAAACAATGTCACCCTTCACACTGAAATAGGGTGTATCTTTCTTTTACAGCACCCAAACCTATCACAGCCCCACACCTCGTGTCCTCCTGCCACCAGAATGTGCCCACAGGCCCTGATGCTGCAAAGGCCACGTGGCCACCTCCTCCTGCACACATGGGGCACGTCCTGCCCTAACCTCAGGCTGGCAGCAGGTGCAAGGATTTCTTCTAGAGTTACTCCAGCTGAGCCCTGGCTGGCTGCAAACTCCTCTCCATCTGCAGCTCTGTGATGGCACTTTAATGATGAAATAGAAATTGAGACTCCTTCCTGCTGTGCTGGAACAGGGCAGGAGGTGCCCAGGGAGGCAGAGCACATCCCTCTGCAGTCAAGGACTTGCTGAAGGATTTATGGTGATTCCCTTCATCACAGGGGACAGGCAGGGATAACCAAGGTGGATGGATGGCAAGGAGCTGTGCTGGCCAGGAGTCTTGCTTCTGTGTCACTGAGACCCTGACCTTTGTGCCATGCATCTTCCTGGGCCACCAGCACTGATCACAGCTCACACTGCCCCTTTTCCAAGGAGGAAATGTCACCTCAGGCTTCATTTGCTCCAGCAGAGCACAGGGTAAAAAACTTTGATGATAAATCCTGTCCTGGGAGAGATTTCACTGAGAGAGATTTCACTACTCAGCAGGTGAGGCCCTGCTGTAGCTGACACTGTCAGTTTTATACCTTACAAATTGATTAAATATGACAGAAAAGTACAAAGGAGATGGAAGAAGAGTGTGGAATGCAGAAACCTTCCTAGGAGTAGAATGAACATATCCAGACAGTGCCAGGCAAGCACAGGGAGCTTCTCCCCAGGCTGAGGAGCTCTCCTGCAATGATCCCAAAGCCCAGGAGATGGAGCAAACCTTCAGTGTTTATAGGATTTCCTACACACGTTTTGGGACGGGCTGGGTCATGGTGGAGGCTTCTCACCCACCCAGGAGTTACAAACATTGCTGCTGCATTCTTCACACTTCAGCTGAGCAAGCCCAAGATCATAAAGGAGAAGTCAGCAGAAACCTGCAGGAGTCACAGACTAAGTCACCTTGGCCAGAAAGTTTCACATCAGTATAGTCAGGTGAATTTTAAAGATCAGTGGTCTTCAAAAGATTTTGCTGTGTTGGAGAAGGGGCTCCTGGCCTGAGCCTCATCCCTCCTGGTCCCTGCACTGGAGGAATGTCCAACACCAGCCTCCCACAGGGCTCGTGGCAACTCCTATCAGTGCTTGTCCTCCCATATCTCAGTGGTTTTGTTCAAAACAGCAGAGAAGAAGCAGACAGTAATTCAAAGTATCAGACATGGCTTATTTTAGCTCAGTGCCCAAATTCCTTTTTAAGGATTCCTGGCAAGGACTGGGTCTTCTTTTTAACTCAAAACACTCAAAACCACTCCATTACACACAGATGTAAGTGGGGTTTTATTTCCCCTTCACACTCCCATCAGCAGCATCTACCTCTGAAGAGAGAGATGTTTGTAAAATCAAAGCCTCTGGGTCTGGTGTTTCACCTTGCTCACCTCCTGGCTTTGTTCTGATATTACCAAATAAGAATTTCTGATATTTCTTCATACTGGAAGGGTGAGGGAGGATTCCAGAGGAGCACACGAGGCAGGAAGGCTCCTCTCTCCAACTCTGCTGTCAGGCACTAGATGTCCTCAGTTATCCTGGTGAGGCAGGCTGTGGTTAAACAGCTACACACAGATGAGATAGGAATTCAAACAAAGCACAGGCAATTTGTATTTCAGCTGTGAACAAATAAGATCATGATTACAAGTATGCCCTTATTACCTCCTCAGCTGCAGTTGTTTCTGTGAACAGTTGTACATCTGCATCAAAACATCACTCCAGAAACTCAACAAAGCAAGCTGGGAATCTGTAAAGGGCAAAGTTAAAGGTCCTGGGGAACAAATGGCAACAACTGGGTGCAGCAGCAGCTCCCTTGACAGGCAGGAGATGCCACAGAGACATCACGGTCTCCCTTTCTCTCCCTGTGCCACCCAAGACTGACCCTAAGCAACATCTGAGAAAAGTTGGACCTTCTTATTCTCTTCTTCTGGGCCTCCTTCTTCTCTTTGTATTTCCACCCTTCATAGAAGTTCCTAAAAACAAAACCCTTGTAGAGCCAGGCATGTGGAGAATGACAAGAGGGACTTGAGAGCCACAGCTCCACCACCCCTGTTCCATTTCCAGCTCCTCTGCTCAGCTCTTGCTAACTGGAAACTGCAACCAGGCTCTGAACTCTGGCCCTAGAGGTTTTATACACAATACCCCCAAATATAGCAGGCCATCCTCAACCCAAACCCACCTCAAATCCCCATTTTCTCAACAACTGCATGCAAAATCACCCTGGTGCTGTCCCAACAAGCCAGGCTGAGTGCCAGGGTTGTGCCAACACGGATGTGTTGGGCTGAGCTAAATCCTGAATGCTGTCAGAAAAGCCAACACAAAACTCTGTGGGTACAGCATTAAAACAATGATTGCAAACAAAGCTTTAAATAGGGAACAAGCCTTGTTACATATCTCATTTCCTTTTTGTAGGAAAAGCTTTGATAGTGCTAATTCCATGAGCTCTGGGTAAAGAACTGGAGACTTGGCACCACTCAGCTTCCTACTCAAAGCACTGCTGGTTTGTAGTGTCAGGGGGGTAATTTTAATGGGCCCACCTGCACCTGCAGGTTTTTTAAACACCTATTTCCACCAGCAACCTGGAAAAAAGAATAAAATTGAGTGGTGGTTGTGAAGTTTATGGACACCTCAAAAAGTAGGGAACGACAACTCTGAAGAGAGGAGAGTAAAACTGAATAACCTCAGCTACTGGGTGACCAGGGTGCAGAAGCAGTTGTACATCTGAAAGCCAAGTCACTCTTACAGACAGGTGGGTGTCTCAGGGGGCACCAACTCCAAAGAGGACCCAGCACTCGAGCAACACAAACCCTAAAAGCCATGTTCCAAATGGGAAAGGCTATTATATAAGTGGCAATTCCTAAGTGCAAGGACAGATGGGCAAGAAGCATTTCCAACAACACAAGGACACCTCTGTCTCTGTGACATGGGAGGGATGCTGAGAGAGCCCAGCTTGGCTCCCTCGGTACAGCTGATAGAGAAACAGAAATTCTGACCTGATATTCTGCTGGTTTGGATCTCTGACCTGCCTGGGGCCAACCTTCCTTCAAGTGAGACCACTGACCCTCTGCACCCCAGCCAACACCACAGGCCAAAAGAAATCAGACCACAATGATTTACTTCAAAGCCCTGAAATAACACACACTGCACTTTCCCAAGCACGCAAGGAGAAACAGGAGGAATGCTGAAGTGGTTTTGGTAGCACACTTTTCAGTTTATTGACCTATACAAAATAATAGGTCTAAAAAATTCAGGAGTAGTAAAAGAATAAGCAAAAAGAGCTCTCGCATTTCTAGAAGGCTATACAAATATGCAAAACCAAGGAAATAAGTTATTTTTTATTTTGTTTTTGTTCGTTTAATTCCAAATTGCGACTCTAATAATACAAACAACTAAGTACCAGCTTAACAAGTGTGTCCTTCTGTATATATTACATGCTCTGGAATACTGGTAAAAAAACGTCAAAAAAGTTTATCAGAAACCTTTCTATTCACAATATGAACAAGGAGTAACTAATCTTCTGTATAAAAGAACAAAAGAGCACCATTTCTGGAATCCTGAAGCACAGTACAGCTGAGAAACGAGAGAGATTTTACCATATGCAGACGAATCATCAGGAATCAGGCAGGATAACCCTGTGCCAGTTTGTTCCTACAGATGGATGACCTGAGGTAGGTTTATCCCTCTTAAAACTAGACTGCAGTCACATGTTTTTTTCCCACACAAATGGTTCTGTGAAAAGGCTGTTCTGTCACCCAGTGACTCTGCAACGCACCTGGCAGTTCAGGTGACTCGTGGTACAATCCTAATGCCCCTCATTTTAAGGCACCCACTTGGCTGTTTGTGTTTGCATCCACCTTAAAATACTGGCCACTGCTCCCAAATTGTTCCCTGGGGCTCCCCACTGTGGATCCCTGACCCACTGTGGCACAGCAACGTGTCACTGTCACCGCTGAACAGGGGCCACTATGCAGCCACGGTGAAAATTTGCCTACTTCTCCACACAGTGAGGTTGTACCATGGAAAGGTCATTAAATGGGCCATTATTAATTATGTTTTATCATGGAAAAGAGAATTCAAAGTTCACTCCTTCTGTTTCCAAATCCACAACTAGCTATTAGTTTTACACAATGTATGTGTCAGCAAATTTTTTTTCTTTCCAGAACTTGCTTGTGGTGCTAACAAACACTCCTAGCAACACCCCAAAAACTGGACAGACTCATTCAAACCTCTATAATAAAAAACTCCAGCCTTCCTTCAAGTAATGTTCCAATACTGATTCAGTCATCCTTTGCCTCACTCACACACACAGATCTATCCTTCATAAGCCTATGAAACCTCTTCCAGGTCCTCATAAGCCATGGTAGAATAAATTTTCATTTTTTCTTCTTCTTTCAGACATCAGACTTGTGCTCTTAAAATTCCTGGTTTTTCCATAAGAGTCTCCTTTTCACATTTTTTATTTTTTTTCTCTGAGGTTTGCCTTCAACACCTTCCAATCTTCCCAAAAAGTGCTTGCTAAATATAAATACTTCAACCAAGTGCTGCATCTGCTCGTCGATGAACTGTGGCTTGCCCCGGGCTGTACGGATTCACAAAGAGACGCCATTCGTGGTAAGACTTGGTCAGTTGGCTACAGTCCCCCTGAATGCTGAATTCCACCTTTCCCAGCAGAACCAACAGCCTGCTTCCTCTTTTTGTTCCTTTTGGGAGTTCCACCCGAGGCGGGCCCCGGAGTGGCGGCGTTCTGTGCAAGGCACGCAGGGGCAGGAGGGAGTGAGGGGCGGCACGGGGGCTACACCAGCGTCCCGGGCTTGGAGTCCTCGTGCCAGAACAGCCTCTGCTCACTGCTGGGCAGCTCTGCCTCCAGGCCATCCTCCTCGTCCCCTCCCAGCTGGCTCGGCTCCACGTAGGTCCTGCAACACACACACAGCACCAGGCTCAGCTGAGGGTCCTCCCCAGGCTCTGGAATTCATGCATCTCCCTTGGGCTCAAGGTTATGCTGGTGATTTTGAGTTTGCCTCCAAGCACAAACCCGTTTTTTGTGCTGTAATCAGTAAAGGTGTGTGCAAGAGCAATCTTAGCTGCTCAAAGCTGGCATAGTATCACAGACTGGTTTGGCTTGGAGGGACTATAAAGCTCACCTTGTTCCAACATCCCTGCCCTGGGCAGGGACAATTTCCACTACACCAGGCTGCTCCAAGCCCCATCCAACCTGGCCTTGAGCACTGTCAAGATTGTTGGGTGTACTGATTGCTTGTTTGCCATGATCACATTAAAGTAGAAAATAAAGCAGATGAACAATCAGACAAGTGATTAAGAATGTGGAAAATTAATAGCTAATGAACCTCATTTAGATAAAGCTGCTAATACAAGCAGAATTTTCAAAGCTCAATTATGAGAAATTAAAAAATTAGTAGAGACAGTATTTTTAAACACTGTTGCCATAGATATTTTAAATCACTTCAGTAAAACAGCCCATGGCACTTAGCTTAGAAAAAAAAAGGATCTAGCAGCAGCTTTTATGTATTCCCTTACACTTTCATTTATTTTAAAACAAACAGAATTAAAAATTCAGTATTTTCACACAAGTCGGTCTGGCAGCAAGCATAAACTGCAACCCACAAAGCAGGAGGCACACGTGGGGTATTTATTACACTGAGCATAAGTGTATTTAAATGTGATGGCATTTGTGGGGGCAGAGTCATTCCCCAGGGCAGGAGCTTTCTGTCCTCACAGCCAAGTGCTCTGCAGTGGGGGGGACACATCCAAAATGCCAGGCAGAAGCAGAGAGAGCTGCAGGATTTCCTGCAAGGACCAGGCAGAGCCTGGGCTCTCTGCAGGCCTGGGGAGAGCCCCCACAAGCAGGGGGTGTCAGCAAACAGCAGCACATCCCCCATGGCTCCCAGGTTCAGCTCTGCCAAGGGGATGCACCTGGCAGAGGTGGCACCACCTCAGACATGAGGCTGGAGAGGTGTTTCCTCTCCTTGCTTTCCCAAAAGTTTATCAGCACAAGCACTAAAGCTTCAGCAACCCAACAGGACTGTGTCCTGGGAAACTCCTAATGGGGTTCAGGAGAGTTCCCCCCCACCAGAGGGACTGAGCTCACTGTGAGCTCTGCCTGCAACACTGCCCAGAGCATCACAGCTACCAGGGAGGGCAGGATGTTTGATTGTTTTGCACCAGCCACAGGAAAAAGTTGTGCAACCAATGAGTTCATCCTTGACTGTGACTGAGTTCATCCTTGAGTGTGACTGAGTTCATCCTTGAGTGTGACTGCTCCCCACTTCCTTCAGTGCTGGGGTACAGTTAGTGGTGGAACAGCTCATCTGCTCCACACAGAAAACTGCCCTCACATCAATTTTATAAATACTTTTCATCCTGGCTATTTGAAATCAAGCTGATTTGCTCAGATTTAAGAGCCAGTGACATGCAGGAGGAAGGGCAGAAAATCTTCATGTATTCTACTCACCTGCTCTGCAAAGGAAGGTTGCCATAAACATTCCCATAACAGCTGGAGTAGGAGGAATGAGACAACGTATCATAGTCTGAAAGTCCCAGTGCAAGGGGGGTTCTCCAGTTCCCAGCAGTGTTTGTAGAAGATGCTGCAATTAAAAAAAAAGGATTACAACAAATTACACCTTTCTTCAGCTATATCAGCTGAGGCAAACAAGAAAATTCTCATCAGCAATCTCTATGGGGTTTTGCAGGACAAAGGCAGACAATGCAAACACAATATGATTTACAAGCCCTGTAGGGAGGCAAGCACTGTACAGGTGGTACTCTGGAGCTCTTAAAGTGCTTTCTGACACAGTCAGTGATGCTCACTGGGCTGTATTTTGGAAGCCATCACAGCCACTGCATTTACATGGCATGAAGCTTTGTATACTGCTTCTAGTTGCTAAATACACCTGTCAAACTCAAATGCTCTTTGAACTTCTCTGGGTTTCTGTGCTTACACGAAGAGCAAAAGGCTGATTTACCCTTAGGAGAAGAGAACAAGCAAGACTTTCCTTCCAAGAACAGAACAAGATCCTACTTGGCTCCTCATCCACCTTTCAGGACAGAGCTCTGCTGACATCACCGAGGCAGTGACAGGGGGCAGAGCTGACAGCACAGCAGGGGTTTACAAAAGCACTGGGCACAGGTGAAATCAGACCTTACCCGAAGAGAAAGACGACACCCGACTGCTGGGCGAGCACGGCGTCTGCAGAGCAGCAAAGCCCAAACTCCTCTGAGATCCTCTGTCAGACTCAAAGCCCGCCTGCAGGCTGTGACCCTGCTCCTTCTGGCTGGAGGCACGCTGGTACCAGCCCCGGAGATGCTCTGCTACTAAGGCCTTGTGAATGTTTTTGGTTATGTGCTCCGTTTTAGCAACTTGCTTCCTGGGGAGCCTGAGGGTGGCATAGGGGTTGTGTGGGACTCTGTCCACCTCGTCCTCGTGGTAGGAGCGGAATTCGCGGTACCGCTCGTAGCCGTAGTGCGCCGACGAGCGGTACGAGGGGTTCACGCTGTACTGCCCCTCCGTGTCACTCTCATAGACGTACCCCCCGTTGTAATAAACGTCAGGCTCAGTGTAAGGGCAGTACCCAGGAATGTAGTAATTAGAGGAAGGCTGCTCCTGATTTTTGTGGAAGGCAGCGCTGCGGGCGTCCTTATGTGCCAGGTTTGGCATGCTCCCTGAACTTGCTGCGGAAATGTTGTGTTTCTTTGAGCGCCTGCGGCCCCTGGTCCTGTTGTCGAGGGTCTGAGTGGTGTAATAGGGATTGGGAGTGGGTGTCACGCAGTAATACTCTGCACTTGACTGGCTGGTGTAGGATGATCCATCGTCCAGGATCTCTGTGCTGCTGCTCCGCTGGGACTTGCAGAGGGAGAAGGCTGGCTTGTCAGCAGGAGCCTCGGACAGCAGGTGTGTCTGCGATTCCAGGCTTCCGCTGCGCTGCCGGCAGTGGCGTGGGGAAACATCTGGCCTAGAGCAACGCAGATGTTGGCTGGTTAAAGGCAAGTCTCACACAAATAAACACACAGAGCATGCAAGGACAGGTCAGCTGCCTCCCCAGCCCGAGCACAACGCAAATCCTGCCTTATGTTTCCACACAGAGCATTTGCAACGCACAGGACTCAGTTTGGCTGAATTTTGTATTGGCTGCAACAGCAGGAGATCTGCCTTATAATAATCTGTCAGGCTGAGCAAGGTTAATCTGTGACAGGGACACACTGAGCTAAGGTCACAAACACACATTTGGTAATGATTTACGGGAGGGCTCCCTCAATCACCTGCAAACCTACTGCTATTGATATGCTCTATGGAGCTGTTCTAGCTCATAAAGTGACCAAATGCCATAGATACACCCAGCCAACACTAATGATAGAAGCTGTCTGTTTGCAAACAGAGAACTCTCCATCAGTAAACATCATGTAAACATCAGAAATCTCCATCTCCATTCCTTTCTAAAAGGAATAGCCTAGACAAGTAATGAGCTTGGAGCAGAACATGCAAAGATGGGTTTCCTTTGGATCTGTCTCTCACGGCTGCATTACCCCACCAAACAAACCTTGAGCTCTTGATAACGTTCTAAGATTCTTAGCATCTCTCCTTCTCCACCGTGGATTGGCTTCCCAATATAATATCTCTAACCAACATTCTGAAAGCAGTGGGAATCCTTACACTGGCTGAAGCTGCTAGCACTAAATCTGACATGATCACACAATCACCTGCAAACCTACTGCTCTTGATGTGCTCCAGGGAGCTGTTCTAGCTCATAAAGTGCTCAAATCCCATAGACTTGGGCTGGAGACACAGCTGACACTAATGATGGAAGCTGTCTGAATCCCAGTAACTCTGCTTGCAAACAGAGAATTCTCCATCAGGCCTCACATGAATGATGTCTGCTCTGACACTGTACCAGCTGAAACACTGATACCCCACTCTGGGAAAGCCGCACAGCCAACAACCCTCCGCCCTCTTTAACACCAATTCCTTTCACCCTTGTGCTTCCCCAGGGATGTGTGGCACCCAGAGCCCAGGTCTCTTACTGCAGGTGGCTGCTGCTGTAGGCGTTGCGGGTGAGCACGGGGGTGGTGGGCATGCTCCTGCCGCCCTGCGGCGGCGCCGGCCGCTCCAGCGCGCGGAACGGGCTGCTGTGCGCCGAGAGCACCTCCCTGCAGCAAGGCACACAGACACAGGGAGGTTAAACATCCCCCCACATGTCACAGCACACCCACCATTACATTCTTTCTCACACGCTTTCTGTAAATAGCTCATTGTTTTGCATTCTTTTATGGAGGAGGAGAAATTTGATGGGCTGTTGGTTTGTCCAGTGTCATTGGAGAGGTGGCACTGTCACCTCCAATCCACTGTGACTTTTGGAAAACTATAAATGTTGGAGTCAGATAATAAACTTCCTTTTTTCTTCACCTTGAGAGCAGCGGTGTGCGCTTGTGTTCTTTCGTGTCCCTAAGTGGATGTGTGAGAAAGAGAGTTGGTAAATAGGAAGGAAAATTCAATCCCTTCCTGTGGTTAAAGGGAGGTGTTCACAGGATGAGCAGCAAGACAAGCTGCTGCCAAAGGACAGAACCATTGAGGAGAGACAGAGCAGGTAACAGAGAAGGGAACAAATTAGGCTTTCAAATTAAGCACATGGGTACATATGGCTATTATTTGACTTCTGAACTTCATGTGGAGGAGTGTTCTGCTAGTCTTGAGGGACAGATGAGGGGAAAAAAAGCACGACATTGCTCAAAACTTTAAAACGTCTTTAAGTGTATCTTTAACAGCCTGTTCACCCATGACAGTCCAAGAAATCTCAGGACCAGTGGGAATCCTCACACTGGGTACAGCTGCTAGCACCAGATCTGATATTATCACACAATCACCTGCAAACCTACTGCTCCTGATGTGCTCCATGGAGCTGTTCTAGCTCATGAAGTGCTCAAATCCCATAGACTTGGGCTGGAGACACAGCTGACACTAATGATGGAAGCTGTCTGAATCCCAGTAACTCTGCTTGTAAACACAGAATTCTCCATCAGATCTCACATGAATGATGTCTGCTCTGATAATGTACCTGCTGAAATACTGATACCATCAGGAGGGATGGGTAGGGTTTGGTGCTGCCTGAATCTACTAAGCACAGTCATCAGGAAGATGACAAGTTGTTAAATGAACACTGAAAAAACCCAGAAACTGACACACAGAATGACAGCACGAGCAACTCCTGAAATGCAGCCCTTGCTATTGTATTTCTCACCGTCTCTTCACAAAAACTACACTGCTCTTTGGTTTGAGATACTCTGTCAACTGCTTATACACACTTTTGTTCCTAGCCAGGAAATTCAGCTCCCATCCCCAAAGCCTGTAAGGCCAGAAGAGCAAGGAGGCAGTGGGCTCTGCTGGAATGCTCAGCAGGGCCAGGATGCAGCTCATGGCAGCAGGTGCAGAGTGCAGCAGCAGTGAGATTTGCCTACCTGGAGTGTCTGCTTTCCAAGAGCTGCTCGTTTATGGATGACTTCCTGAGATGAATTCTCTCCACGCCAAGGGACTTTGGTGGGGGAAGTCTTGGAGAAAGCTGTGCAGAGCTGGGTCTCTGTGCTGCTGCAGGAAGTGATTCACTGACTGTTGGAAAGGAATATACACTCTGTTAGTGCAAAATCCCTGCTATTTCTGCCCTGTGTGCAAATCTGTGGCCCCTAAGGAAGAAGCACTTTGCAGTACTGAGACAATGACAGGAGCTGTGGATCTAGAAAAGATTTCCTGCCTGCCCTGAGCTCTCTCCACACAGACAGGACATTGTGGAGGCTCCTACAGATCCCAGCAGCACCAACTCCTATGAGACTACACCCAGCTTGGGGCTATGCCAGATCACAGAATGGAACTTCCTGGGAAAAGATCTGTTTGCAGAGCAATCCTTTCCAGAGCCAAGCAGACAAGCTCAGCCTCTGCAAAGGCCAGTTCTTTTCCTTCACCTTCCAGCTCTTGAAAATGACATTTTAAGAATTAGTTTTGAAACACAACCTGAAAGAGACTGACTTCAAAAGCGAAGGAATGAGCAAAGACAACTGACAGACACATTTGGCTGAAGGCAATTGGGAAGATGCTGGTTTGATCCTTGTTCTCACTTTGCTTAGGGCACAACCAGGTCCCGACAGAGCCAACAGGAAACTCCAACTAATACATATAAATGCAGGATGAGCATCACAGAGAACACGTTCACAAGCCTGGCTCCACTTCTACTTGTACAAGCAGGAATCAGGTGTAAATCCATTTTATGGCACCACCTGGCTTGTACAAGTCTAAAACTGGGATAAAGTGAGATCAGAATCAGACCCAAACCGAAAAGTGAGTAATGATTTAGATAATGTTTGTCCCCAAATGATGATTATCCAGTTTAAGGGAGAGGCAGGCCAAGTCCTTTCCACCTTGTGGAACAGGGTGTGAGTGTGTCTGTGGGTGTGTGTGTGAAATGAGTAAGCTGAGCAAACACCACCCCGTGCAAGATGCAAGCTCACCAGGGAACAGATAAACGAAAATAGAGCGTTAGTATCTGTGACTATTGCACCTTTCTTTCTCCAAGTTTTATGGTAGCTGTGAGGGAAGAAGGGCTGGGCTAATTCTCCCAATTTGTAAGTCCTTCAGTTCTAGGCCAGGCCCTAGGGACAACGTATTTGACACTCACAGTGTCCTCAGCTTGCAGGTTGGTCATGTTAAAACCAACTTCCTTCTCTAAAGATGACTCAGGTCAGCTCACAGAGCTGCAGAACCTTTCAGAAACTAACCCATTAAGAGCAATGACATTCCTGAGTAGCTATTTTTTCCTCTTCTGTAAAGTAATTTATCATCTAAAGGCTTACTGTAAAGTAATTTACCATCAAAGCTACAGAATAATATAATGACTTGTACTGGAAGGGACCTTAAAGCTCATTTCATTCCAACTCCCTGCCATGGGCAGGGACACCTTCCTCTAAATGTTTTTGCTCAAAGCCCTGTCCAGCCTGGCCTTGAACACTTCCAGGGATGGGACATGCTAAAGGACATTAAGTCAAAGAAACATTTCTGAATGGACAAACTTATTGGGGAAAAAAAGGGTAAGCATCATACCATCATCATAGGTGGTTGTGTCTGACAGGGAGCTGCTCTCGGACGGAATTATATCATCTGTGAATAAAAACAAACACTTTAAGCATAAAAGAGCCAACATCAACTCACAAATATCTTAATACAGTTTATTTTCTAGAGTTTCAGAGCCAGCTGATACTTGTAGCACTGCAATCCTTATTCTTTAGCCCCCACAGCCTAAAGACAGCCTTGGTACATCATCACTCTGTGTGTTCACTGCAGTTCAGCAAGCGACCCAGGTAATTATCAAAGGAGATTTTTTTTTTTTTTAATCTGCAGCAGGAATCAGGCCAAGATTTACAAAGGTGTTTTCCACCCCACTTCGAACAGATCTCACAGGGTGTTTTGGTGCTTCAGGAGGAGTCAGGAGCCTACACAGACATGTAGATCTTGGCTGTTAGCAGCTAATCTCCTCCAGGTACACCTGAAACCCCACCAGGTAGGTACAAAAAGCCTTTTAAAATTTGGCACTCACTTTTGAATGTTTCCTCAGCACACAGATCCTGTTTCAATTAAATTAAGATCAATCCAGAGTAATTCCACTGATTTCTATCAAGGTATTGCAAATTCCAGCAACACAGATAACAGGAACTGTTCCATGGGGGTACTAATTTTTTGTTTCTTTTACATTTTGTTGTTTATTCACAGCACTTCACTGTACCTGTCTCACCTTGATGCTACACAATGAGAAGCAGCCTGTCCTCACTCAGGTTTGGAGCAGACCACCAGCAGCAGAGAAATGAGGCTGAACTAGAGATAATTAACCCACGGACAGCTCAATCCCTAGGCTGGTTCTGACAAGATACAGCACTGGTGGGGTAAAAAACCTCCACGAATCTTCAAGCATGAGAGAAAGGAAGCAATGAACAATGAGAGTGGCAGCCAGGTTGTGTATGACACCTGCCTGTGCCCCCAGCCACCATGAGCACGTGCAACATGCACTGCTCCTGCTGTCACAGCCTGCTGCCAGGAAAGCTCTGGTTACAAGAATGCAGTAAAGAGAGCAGCTGTTCAAAAACAGCAAAAACCAGGCCTGGCCCCTGCCCTGGAGGGACTTGTCAGACCACCGAGGATGGGCTGAAGCCCTGCTTGCAACCTGACACTGGGAAAAAGCTCCAGGGGAGCTGATTAATGTGGATCTGACCACAGGGTGGTAAAATATGGAACTGGGCCCAGAGTGGGGAGGAACAAAGCCTGCTGAGGAAAAGAAAAAAGCCAGCCTAAAGCTACAGTGCTGGATTCAGGGGGGGTGTGCAATGCTGACATATTCAGATATGGTGACATATCTGAATTTAAATCCCAGGTCTGTGCAACTCCCTGCAAAGGAGGAAGAAACTCTGGGCTAGAGAGGGAGGAAAGGGAAGAGAAGGTGGAACACGGAAAGCAGTCCAATATGTCCTTCACCTCCTATCCCTTGGGGCTGGGATGGAAACAGCTATGGTTTGGTTCAATAAATCAGTGGGACTATTTAACATATTACTTGCAACAAGTAATTCCCTGAACTCACAGACTCGAGTGACTCATCACTGCTCAGCCTCCTGAAACCCAGACCTGGAGAGCACTGCTGGTGATGGTGACAAGGTTACACATAAAATCAATTACTGAAGCAGGGCACAGCTCTGCTCCAGGTAAACAAATACACAGTGCAGGCTGAAAGCCTGGCACTGGAAGGGAATGCAGCTGCTTATTGCTGGCTTGGACAACAGAGAAAAACACTGCCAACAACAACAGTGGCACCCAACAACAACAATGGATGGATGGATCTCTCTGCTCATCAGCCTTCCTGGTCATTACCACACACCAGGTGCCCCAGGTAAGGCAGGATCTGCCACAATCAGTATCCACACTGGTGAGCAAGAGGCTGGAAACAGATGTTTCCCTCCCCTCTGTCAATCAGAAACAAGCTGGGCCACATTGAATGCTGATCATCAGCCTTTCAGAATAATCATTTGTGATGATGGATAGCCCAGTGATGCTGTGGTGTGTCAGGGGTAAGGATCCAAAACTCCTTCAACTGGCATGGATACTAACAGGCTTCCACACATTATCAACAAAGCAGCAAGAATCTCACTGCCCTTAGGAGAGACACACTAAGAATGGAGGGGGCCAGGAGTATCTGCTTTTGCTGTGCTCATCAGTGGCAAATGGATTTAGTTAAAAAAATTTGTTTGCTACTAATTGCATTCATAAACTCCTGAAGTTCACTTATGACTTCTGGGAAATCAGGAATGTTAAATCAAGAAGCAATATCCTCCATCCTGCAGAACACCCTGCCTGCTCTGTTTCTGCTGGAACTGAAGCACCACGGGAGGGATGGGGGAGAGATGTTGCATGTGGCATCCCAGATGTACAACTGCACTCATCCCACCAGGAATTCAGGCATCAGAAAAGCTTCACCCAAGGTGTTGCTGCCAGCCTTTCTGTGCACAGCTCCTTCAGCCCATACCTGGTGCTGGAACATGCCTGTGCTTGCTCCTAAAACTGTGGCTACTCTGCCCCCAGCCTACACCAGTGCACTGAGTGTATCAGATGCAGCAGTTTCATCTTTTTCTTATTTAACTGCCTTGGAGAAGATAAAAATCATATAGAAAAGATGTACACAAAGTTTCTAAGTAAGCCAAATTGCTCTTTTCCCCTCCTGTTTGCATCAGAACAAGGGGAATTCTCTCACCTGGTAGAGCCAGAGTTGATTTCTGGGTTGGTTTTTTGCCACACTTGATTCTATATTCATTTATGGAGTTTTCTATCTCTTGTAGCTTTTTTACAGCATCAGCATACTCTTGCTTTCTTTTCTTCTTCACGTTTTTGCAGAGGTCTGGCTCACTGGCAAGTTTCTTTGCAGCTTCCACCAGCTTTTGGTGTATGATAAAATTGCTCTCCAAGTCTTGCAAAGTGGGATCCTGCAAATTCATGAGAGAAGGTATTTGCTTGTACTCCAGAGAGAAATTATCAATAAAAGTCATTAATATAAAGATCTATTTTTGTGGTGATGAAGTGAAATCTTGAGCACAAATACAGAAATACCAAAGTACATACACAAGACAATCTCAGCATATGAAAGTCTTAGATCTTATTTCTGACTAGGGTACAATTTTGAGATTTCTTGGGCAAGGTCCAAAGTTCTGAAGCCCAGGTGACATAACACATACTCTTAAATTCAGGTTTAGGCTGCTAAACATCCTGCTATGAGTCCAACCCTGAAAACATCGTTCAAAATCTCTCCCTACTTCAGAGAATATAAAAATGGAAATTGGTATCACCATACCTACGTAAGAGGGAGTTTCAGGCTTTAATTAATTGTTTGTAAACTACTTTGAAAAGCTCAGATGAAAGGCACTGCAGAAGTGCTAAGCAACACGTTATTAAATCTGGTCAGCAGGATTTTGGTTTAATGGCATTTAAGCAGTCCACAAAATCACTTTGCTGCAGACAAGGAGCACACCAGCCCTATGAGGCAGGGCAGTGAGTTTCTGGTGAAGGACAGATGCCAAGTGCCCAACACCTGCTTATTTGGATGATAGAGCTTGTTAACAAATCTCACAAGGAATGAGGGGGAATGGAGTGTGTCCAGAAACTGCAAACATCTGAATTATCCTATCACTCGAGTCAGTCCCTGCCAGCAAAGTTCATTTTAGCTTCTTGAGCAATCCAGGGAGGTTTTACTCAGGTGGAACCTTCATTAAGCCACAGGTAAAACTCCTCCTCCTGTCACCTGTCACAAAGCTATGCTCACAGACAGATGATTTTGCAAGGCGGATAGAGCACACCCCTGCCACATTCTGGGTTCTAACACCATCCCAACATGACACAATTCAATGCTCCAGAAAAGCCACGGGCTGCCAAATAGCATTATGCACCTGATCTTCTCTAATTAGCAGTAAAATATCCATTAAAATTCATGCAGGGATTCAGGTTGGGTGAACTTAAGGCCTTTAGCAACAGCCAATTTCCTGGTCAGTTCAAAGCGCGGCTGAAAAAAGGGGCAGAACCCACCAAAATTTCCCACTCCACACAAGCAACTGCCCCAGCTGCCTCCTCCTAAAAGCCCCAGGGAAGAGCTGGATTATCTACAGGTGGCTTTGGCCACTGGTCTGGGCAGCCCAGCCCTGTGTGCAAGCAAGCTGCCGTGCTCACCTCCTCGCTGGGGAGCAGGTTGTCATCCAGCTTGAACGCCGTGCCAACGCGCCTCCTCACCTGGGGAGGCTCCTCTCCAGCACCCAGGGGATACTCCTTGGGCATCTTGCCTGTCAGCTCCTGGGGAACAACACAGAGGGCTCCAGGTAAGGCCCAGTGGGAGGAAAGGGCTCCCACCTGCCTGACCCCAGTGTGAGGTGCAGCTCTCACCGCCTCTCGCAGGCAGATTTTCTTCAGCTCCTCAACTTTCTGAAGCAGTTTTTCCTGAAGGAGTTTCTCTTTCTTCTTTAGTTCCATAATTTTCTCCTTCTTTTGTTCTTCACTGACCTCTGAGTCCTGAGAGCCTGGAAAACACATTCTGTTATCAGAGGATTTCCAGGTAAAGGGTAAAGGCCATTTTAATTGTCTGGTAGTCTCATCTCCCTTTTAACAAACAAGCCCCATTAAACCTGGCTACTTCACATTTATGTGCAGTATTACCTGATGAGATCAAACTGCCATTGCTGGCCATAATAAGCTGGTTCTTGGCCTCCAAGGTCACCAGCTTTGACACTTTTGGAGTTCCCATCTCTGTCAGATCCATGGCGATATCATCCAAACTTCTGGCTGATGGAATTTTTGCCTGAAGGAGTTAAAAAAAACCCAACAGCCTCATTGAGTTACCTCTAATTAACTTCAGAGCACATCACAGAAGATGACATTTCACACATCATCTCCCACAAAATTAAGGGCTAAAGCAACAGCATCACACAGGTGCTTGTGGTATTTAAGGGCTGTTTGGCATTCCCTTCCCCTCTCCCCCAAAACCTGAACCATCTCCCAGCTCAAAATCTCTGCAGCTTTCAAAACAAATATAGGAAAGGAGACAAAAGAAAAGGCAGATTAGACACCCAGACATGGGAATTCCCTCTTCCATGATTACACTGCCATAGGACTTAACTGCAGGCAGGCTAAAATGGATTGAATACCAATACCACCACTAGGAGACTGCTCAAAAAGCTGACAAAAACAATTCATAGTTTTTCTCTGGAGAGTAGTTCATCTGTGGAAAAACACATGCTGAAAGGTGTTGAAACCCATGCTTGCAGTAAAATGCCTCATAACTTACTTTGCTTTGCTTCCTGTCCAAGTAAAACTGGTGCTGACTGATTGCCATCACCCAGATGGACTTGATCAGGGAAGTGTTTGCATACCAGGTCTGCACAACCAGCCCACTCTGACCAAAGGTCCTTCTTGACACTGAAATTCTGAGGAGGTGAAAAGAAATGCAATTTCGAGACAGGTCTTTGAGGTTTAAAGTCCACAATGCCTCTCTCTTAACCAGGTGAGGCTCAGTCTTTATTTTAGGGATGCAAAAACTCAGATTTCCTTCATCCCATCACGCAGTGCTGCTGCAGATTCAGCCATGACAAACAGTCCTCCCCCTGCTCCAAGAACTCCCTGAATGGACCCAGAGGAATCTGAGAGGACACCCAGAGCTGTGACAGCCCCAGTCTGCCCCACCAAACGCTGGATCAGGACCAGTCCCAAAGCCCAGAGTAAACTCAGGGGTCAGCTCTGAGGCACCTCCCACCCCATCCACCAAGAGGTGATGATGAGCTCCCACTGTGGGCAAAGATGAGCCCCGATGGCAGAACCTCCTCAGCCTCACCTGCGGGGATCGTGCACCTCCACAGCAAACTTCTTCTCACGGAAATACAGATTTTCCAGCTGTTTCCATTGAAATAGCTGGGGGAATTGGGAGAGAGAAGCACAACGTGGTCACTAAATCTCCAAACCTCTCACTCCAAGGTGATATCATTTCAGCAAATTACAATTCCTATGGCATGGACTGAGCAATAACTACATTTGTAACATCAATTAAAAGAAGAACATAAGTATAGGATGCCCCCTCAGTAATTTCACACTCTTACAGACAATGTGTTGCAAATTGAGGATTTTGCCAGTGACAACATGTGCCTCCATCAATAGCACATTTAATTTCACTGCTAGAAGTTCCCAGAGATCTTGGCAGGGCAGCTAAAGTAATTTTCTCTCTGATTAAACGCAAAAAATCTCTCTACAAAGTAATTGTATAGACAACTATGGTCTACTTCCCTAGTCAGAACATCCCCAGGGAATGGCAGCAGCTTGGAAAAACCAGAATTTTCTTATTCTGAAGACACTGTGTGAGACATCCAGTGTGACATTTTGGAGCAGAGGTACAGCATGTACAGAACAACAGCAGCTACAGGAGGAAGCCACCCCCAGCACATCCTCTTGCTAGAAACCCACATATTTCCTGCAAAGTGCCAGCTGGGAGAAGAGATCAAAGTCAGTTGGGGCTTGGCAGCTGCAGCCGTGGGATCAGAATTTCATCTGAATTCGCTCTCCTTTCGCTGCAGCAGCACCAGCCCTGCTGATCCCCCTGGGGATGAGCCACTGGGGGCTGCATCTTCCCAGCCCAGCCTCACAGGTTTGGGCAGCACCACCCCCTGCCCTCTTCTCCAGCAGTGCCAGAGTGCCTGGATGTACATGGCACGTCCCCAGGGATGTCCCCCTGACCATGATGGGCCACACAGGTGCAGCAGCAAGATGGGGTTTACATCAGCTGCTCACAGAGCTGCAGCCCGCACGGAGATCCTGGGGGTGCTTCCACCCAGCTGGGCAGGGATAGACAGGGTTCAGTGGGAGATCAGCCCTGGACACCAGGGATCCAGCCAAGGCACCCAGGCCCTCACAGCAACTCCCTCCTTCCCCCACCGGAGCTTTTCCAAAGCCTCCAAGGGTGCAGCCACCACACCAGAAATCCCCAGGACACACAACATTCCCGCTGGCCTTGCCAAAACTTGACATTCCATGCTACCTCCCGGTACAGAAACACTTCAGGTTTTGTAAAAAATTACGTATCAGGCTGTGATGCATCTGAAACATTTCTAACACAATGAAACATAGCCCAGCACATTTGTGTTTCAGGGGAAAAGTGGCTCTTTCAGCAGCCTCTGCCTCTGTTTAATTAAAACTTTCCTAGGACTACAACTGCCTATTAGAACCTGCCACAGAAAAAGTGAAGCCAAGTGGAAATGCAATTTACTAGAATTAATAAATTATTTTCTCGACGATTGTGGAAGTTTCCCTCTGCTGCTTAAATAAGTTTATGTTTGCCTCACAGCCCTCCTGCCCAGCCACTCCGCTGTCAGAAACGCCTCTTTACAACTCCGCATGAACTTTGAAAATAAATACATTTACAAAAACGCGAAAGGAGCCAACCCAGTCAGTGTCGGGACATTGAGCAATAGGTGCCCGTGGGTGCTCCAGCAGCGATCGATCCCAGCCGGGACCCCGGCACAGCCCCGGCTGCTCCCGCGTCCCGCACTCACCTGCCCGCAGCCCCGATGCCGATCCCCGCTCCCCGGCCCCGCCGGGCAGTGTCAGGGCTGGCATGGGCAGGGCACAGCCGTGCTGTCCCTCTGTCTGTCGCTCCGTCCCGCCGCTGTGCCGTGGCAGCCTCTCCTCCCAGCGCTGACACACGCCTGACATCACCACCCACCCGCTCCGTGCCGCGCCGCCCACGCCCCGCTCCCCACATCCAGGGAAAACCCGACCGCGAGCGAGCGAACGGGGAGGATTCCAGCGAGGGGCTGCACCCCTGGGAGCCCCCCCCGGGTGCCTGGGGGGGCCAGGGCCGTGGGGGCTGCCCCGGGTCCCCGCCGTGCCGTGTCCCGGCCCCGGCAGCCCTGACTCACCCCCAGAGGCAGCAGCAGGTTCGACCGGCAGCATCATCCCGGCCGCCCGCTCCCACGCTCGTAAAAACCATGGGCGTGCTTCAGACATGACCTCTGGAGAAAAAACTGCCTCGCTGCGCCTCTTATCGTGGCGGGGGATGATTCCCCGTCCCCTTTATCACTTCCTTTGGGGTTTTCCCTCTCCGGATGTGCTCGGTATTCCTAAGGGTTGCGGGAAAACGGAGCACCTGTCCCAAGGTGCGGAGGGTCGTGTTTGGCAGGACGGCAAAATGCAGCAGCCCCAGCAACTGGAGCAGCCTCCTGCCCCGGCAGAGGGACAGAGGGACACGGGGTCTGTGCAAATCTGACACCGGGATCACTTCCAGTGCCGAGAAAAGAAGGAAAAAAAAAAAGCAAACAATAAAAGAGGCGTTTGCATTTTTAAGAAAACCTGCATGGAACTGCCTCAGGATGTGGGTAGAGCTTTGCTCCATTTCCTCCCCACCCTGTGAGATCCATCCCAGCCCAAAAGGAGCTGACGGGCGCCCCAAGCATTCACTGCTGGGTACATTCAGCACTGAGACATCTCTGCCTCCTTGCACAAAGCCTGGGATAACTGCAGCTCCCCCCTCTGCTGCTCCCATCCCAGAGACGGGAATTGTACCCAAGACACATCTGTGCTCTTGAGCACTGAAAAAGTGCCCTCTCCTCAGACTATCTCACTTAAGAACAATATAAGCTCCTTAGCTATCACCTCATCTGACAAACCCTCCTAACTCAGGTCCTTGTAAAAAAAGGCTGGTGATTAAATGAACAGCCTCAGAGTAAGTTGTGAGCCAGTAATATTTATACAGATGCAAATAAAAATAATCCTGAATGAAAGTATTATACCTTCCTGCCTAACACACTGGGATTCAGGAAGGCAAGAGGGAAAAAACGGACTCAGTACAAACAAGGACAAAGCAATAAAGTAATAAACTCTCTTCAACTGAAATTTTTCTAACTCGTGGTCAAAAGGCAACACTCAGGAAACCATCAGTGCTCTAGAGATATCCTGCTCCCTTCACATACTCTCTATCCTGTACAGACATGCTCCTAAATAATTCCTAATTTCAATCTTACCTAAACTAAATGCATATTTAAAGACAAAAGAGTGGTAAAAAAAATCTGGAAATCTGGAACTGGTTTTTGAGGGCTGGAAGAACAATTAGGAATAATTAAAATGTTTTTGTGGAAGTTTTGCAATGTATGTTCCCTTTAACCAGATGATTAAGTCCACCTGAGCTAATTAATGTTTTCTTAATAGCCTTCCCCATCCATGTAGGTTGTCAGATCCTTAAATGCTCCTGAAAACTACTGAGCATCCCAGGGGCTGCCTGTCTGACTCTGAGTAGAACTTGGCTTGGTCAAGGTTGTTTTTCTGATTTTTTTTTTTTGTAGAAGGCGGAGGTGCAGCTCTGATCACATCTCATTACCCAGGCACCTCTGTGCACCAGCCAGACTCCTACCACCCAGCTGCTGCTTTTCCAGCCCACGAGTTTAGGCTTCCCTGTACTTCTGCTGTGATTTAATTGCAGATACCAGGGAGCACCGAAAAAGGAATCACTGTCCTTCCTGCACAAAAAGAACCATAATAGTCTAAGGCAGCCCAAGAAGACATGGCTGAGTGCTGAAACACCTTAAAAGCAGCAGCTGGTTTTTCACCTGGCTGATCTTGCATCTAGTTTTGAATAAAATGCAGGTTTGTCCCAGCCTGGGGGGAGCAGGAGCAAACTGGCTCAGAAAAACGGCCCTGTCAGGATTGCAGGCAGGAGCTGGCAGAGACCCTGCCCAAAGAGACAGGCAGGAGAGCTGCTCAGGCTCCTGGCTCAGTATTGCTGTGAGCCTGATGGATTTTGTTGAAAAAACAATATTTTAGTAATTTTTTATACACAGTTTCTTTTTGCAACAAGGTGTAAATGTGGAGAGCAGCTCAGCGCACGGGTTGTGTGGCCACTGTGCCAGAACTGTTCCCAAGGTTAGTGACAAATTCTGACCAAGAGCTAAATGACCCAAATCTCAGGCTTTCCACCCAAGAGGTCCTAGGTTAAGGTCAGCATGAAGTGCAAGCCATGCCACGGTGTTTGCAGCAGCCTTTCCCTCGGGAAGCACTTCCAAAGCACCTCGTGGTACGTGCAGTGCCTGCAAGGAGGCCCAGCAACCAGCACCTCAGGAACTGGCTGGGAACAGCAATCTGCAGACAAATCTGGCAATTCAGAGCAAGGAAACATAAAAGATTTCTGCCCACAGGAATGCACCCCACCCGATGAGGGAAATTACCACCCTGGCAGCAGTGCTGGGAGCAGGCTGCCTTTCAGCCCCTCGCTGCACTCAGCTGTCTGGCACCCTGCCCTCAGCTGGAATCCTGTGTTTCACTGCTGCTGTGCCTGCCCGTGGAGGGAGGCACCTGAGGAGATGGCAGCAGAGCCAAACTGCCCCACCTGCAGCAACTTCTGAGGGAAGGAGGCAGACAGCTCCCACCTGTGCCAGCATAACTCGGCAGAGCTCACCTGCAGGCATCCTTCATCCCTTAAATATTAAACCAGTCCTCTAAAAACCTTTTCAGTCATGTATTTTTTTTAATACTTTATGATGCTTTTGTGCCTGGTCCTCACTAGCACTGGCATCATAAGACTGAGAGATGCCTCAACACCAAAATATCCCAAAACATTTGTGTTTTGCAGCAGGTGATGTTCAAGCAACTTTTTGCACATCTGGAAAGATGCGAATTTCAGAGCAGCCTCATAAAAACGCTGTGGTTTTTTTTTTAAGTAATTATGTGAGCTTAGTATCTTCTATCTAAATCAATGGCTTGGTGAGAAATAAACACCATAAAAGAAATCTCTGCCTAATTAGAGCAGCCTGCTGAGAAGGCTGTTCCACTGCTGCTGTGTTCTGAACTATTCAGCAAAGCAGGACAGCAAATTCACATGAAGTAAATGTTCTGCAAGGGAAAACCTTCAGCATCAACTCTTAGCATATGTTGACTAAAGAAAGAAGTATCATAATAGCTCCTCCTCACAGCTCAAGAGCAATGCATCCCAACACAGAGAAAGTAATGGAAAAGTGTCAGGATGCTTGCCAGGATGAACAGACCCCCAAAGAGAGTGAGAGAAGTACAGAGAAATTGTCTGAGCAGCCAGGGGTCTGTTTTGGAAAGCTAAAGCCCTGAAAGTATTAAATCCAGCCAGGGATACTGTGAAGGGGATGAGGCACTGGCACAACGTGCCCAGAGAAGCTGTGGCCATTCCTGGATCCCTGGGAGTGCCCAAGGCCAGGCTGGATGGGGCTTGGAGCACCTGGGATAGTTGAAGGTGTCCCTGCCATGGCAGGGGGATGGAAATGAGATGATCTTTCAGGTTCCTTCCAGCCCACACCATCCTGTGTTGAACATTCCCCATTTCAAAACGAGTATGTGCTAACAAAAACACTTCTGAGAACACAATGCAGTCAAGACATCAAGCAGTAGAAATTATATTCTTGGACATTTGAAACAATACCACAGCAAGATTAGTTCTTCTCTTCAGATAACAGAGTTAATTTATCACGAGGGAGTCGCCCACAGAAACACAATGAAGTGGGAGAACAAGTCCAAGAGCCAGCAAGCTGCCTTCTCCAGCCCTCAGAGGATCCTCACATATTGGCTGAACGCAGAATAAACTCAACTCATGCCTCAATACACCCTCCATTAACAAGACTTACATTGTTTATCTCACCAGTGAGAAGAATGGGGCAGAGATAAAGGGAGATCTATTCTGGCTTGAAATGACAAACAAAGTCCTGGGACCTGTTTTATACTTTTCCTAATTGATTCAGAGGATGCTGGGGACAGGATCTTGGCATGCCACCTCACAGCAAGCAGAGGCACTTCTCCAAGCAGGAGGTGACTCTCAACATTAACTGCAACTGAAAGAGAATATGTTTGCAAAGCAGCAGGACTGCAGAGCTAATCCCAGGTCTGAGCTCAAATCTGAACAAGGGTTGCCAAATCCAGCCTGTTTTAATGCCCTGTGAGACTTCAGGATGATCATCAAGTGAGCTCAGTATAACCTCCAGCCAGTGTGGAGCCACAGCTTTTATCTACAAAGACAATTTTCATAAATGACACAGAAAATAATTCTCCCTTTTCAGTCTTTTACAGAGCTGGAGCACAGTGCTTCCCTCAGTGCCTCAGCTGGCACTCCTGGGTGATGGGGAACGCTTGGGCTTTTCTAGAAACTGCTCCTGGAGCAACACAAGCTCCCAGGAGTGACTTGGAGCAACAAAACTCCCTTGTCCAAACCAGCTCAGGTCAAGCAGCAAAATATTAATAGCTGGAGCCAAACCTCCCGAGCCAGCCCTGCACAGACAGACAGACAGACAGCCAGGGCAGGTTCTCCAGGTCCAGCCCCGAGTCACACACTGGGCTCCCCTCGGCCCTGGCAGGGCTGGCTGATAGGGATCTGGAGATTGCTTCACCCAGGCCTCTCCTGCAAGTTCCTTCCTGTGAGGAGCTCTCAGCCTTGGACTCCATGCACTGGTGTTGATCCAATAACAAAATCTTGGGAAAACCACTGCGCTCCAAGGCTCGGATTTAGGTGTTTTTGCCTGAAGACCTACTTGGATAAAGCTAAAAGATTTCACTTTTTTTAAGAGGGTGGTTATATTTCTTTGCATTTAACTGATCCTCCATTAATGGGTGCAACCAATGTAGATTTTATTTCTATTATTAATAGTAAAATTTTATTCTAAATATGAACTTGGCTCTTGCAAGATGCCTGTGATTCTGTGGTGAAGCAAACACATCTGACAGCACTGCAGAAAAGACAGGGAGCAGAATCAATCCCCCTGCTGTGAATTCACTGCAGCACAGGCACCAATTCCTGTTAAAAGCCTCCCATCCAAAATGCTGCAGCTTTCCCGCCACAACCAGTGTCAGAGAGGTTTGCACACTCAGAGATCACTTGTAGCTTTAAAATTCAGGAGGGCCAACTTGGTTTTCATTAGACTTGGACTCAGCCTTTCCATCTTATTATTCTCTATTTATCTATCAGCTGCATGTATATTTAAACATCACCAACTGGAGAAGTGGAGCACAATGAGGATGCTCTTTCCCAGATGGCTGGGGATAAACACAACAGCAGCTTTTGATCCATGGTATAAACAGCTGGATAACACCAGCACACGGCAGTTGTGAGTTTGGCTCCATTCCCAAAAGCAAAGCAAGAAAATTCTGCTAAATCCAGCAAAACTAGCACTGCTACTCCAAAAGACAAGAATAGTTCACATGCCTATTCTCCTCCTGCCTGCTGCTCCAGAGAGACTCCTGGGAGATTCAGGCAAGCTGTCCATACTCTTCTCTCTCTGAAATAAATTCTGATACATTCATAAACATGAACAAACAACAACACTGATTAAAAGGAATTTCTGCTTGCTGCATCACAGGCAGCAGGGCTGTAGCTACACTGAAATAAGCAGCAGTATCTCAGCATTTTAACTCCAAACCCAAGTCTGGGTGTGGGTGCCCCTCTAGACCTGATGCCTGCTTTTCCTCCCAGAAGTGATCTGATTCCAATCACTTACCCAAAGTGCTCTTTGTATTTCAAATCCTGAAACATTTTTCATATAAACAAACTGTTTGCATATTTACCCACTTGTTAAAGGCAATCGTGGCTCAGGACAAGCTGTGGCTTGCATCATTTTTGCCCCTTTGCACTGACACCAAGAAAATACTTAAGGACACTACAGCAATATCCATCCCCACAGTTTCAATGAGCTTACTGTAATTAAACCTTCCACCTGCATTTCGGCTCCTCTCTCTCACCTTCCCTTTTAAATCTCTATCCTCTGTTGTATAATTATAATTTCAGTGAAGCCAACAACTATTCTCATTTCCATTGTAATGCATCCACGGCAGAGATGACCTCTGGTTTTTATTTTATTTTTCTTAAACACAACTCCCGCTGCATTCAAAGGCAATGCCTCGTAACTAACTGTAGCAGGGTGTGACTTGGTATCTGGGCCCTGCTGACCTTAAAAAATTTTCTTAATCTGCCTGGTTGATGTTGTAAACTGAAATCCCACAAGCATAAAAAATGCTTGGCGAAGCAATGCTTTCAGCCAGGCAGGCTCCATTTTCTTGGAGAGCATTGCTGGTCACAGCTGGACATCTTGGCTGCAGAATTAACTTTTCCTGGCTGGAAAATCTTATAGATGTTGCCTAAAATCAGGGAAGTGCTTAAGGGCATGAGGACCTCCTTGAAGCTCTCCTCCTTTGACATTCAATAGCTTCATCAAGTTGACTTGATTTACAAAGGGTTCCTCCTGTGTCTTTTAGTGCAGGCATGGGAAGAGACACCTGGGATAAAACTCTGTATTTTACTAAACAAAGTGAATGAAGGACATGAGAGCTCACCCTTGGACACACAGGTACATAAGTACACCAAAAGAAACCAAGTCATAGCCTGCTCTGGAAAAAGAGAAGATCAAGTTGGAAGCTTGAAGGGGGGGATTACTCTTTAACAAGGAAGTTTTGTTAAGCTGTGCCTTTTGGCACCAATACACCAAACAATATCATTTTGCAAATGTAAAAATTCCCTGGCAGGGAGCGCAACTTCATGTGAACTCCTGCCCAGATCATTCCTGGGGAAAGAACAGCAAACTCCCAGGTCCCCATCCTCTCGTGGCTTACATGTTTCAGTAAAGACACACTGGGAAACAGTGGGTTGGAGAAGGAGAAGAATCAACTCCAGTACTTGGCATTTATTCTCAATTTCCCCTTAGAATTTATGGAAGCACACACTTCAACAAGCCTTCAATTTCACACGGTTCCTCTCATATTCTGCCTGTTATCAGTGGAACCTTTTATGTTTCATGCACAAAAAGAAGCCCAACTACAAAAGTGAAGTCAAAACACTGCCAGAGTACAAGGCCTTGCAGAAACACAACTGCTTCATATTTCTGTAGTTATCCCTGGGGGCTGCCAAAATCCCCATCCTGAGACCACCAAACTCAAGACACACGAGCCAAAGCTCCCAAAGGGAGTTTCCACTATCTAGGAGAGGGAGAGATTTACTGCCTCAGTGCCAGCAGAAATCTCCTTCTGCCTCCAGCCTTTGGTCTTTTGCCCACCAGTCTAATAAGCAACAGCTCAAAAGAGAATATCCTGACATGCAACACCATACCACGTTCCCCCCACAAAAAAATCAGATGCAAAAGAACTTACTTTTCTGGGCTTCACTTTGTCTTGTAAGTCGTACTGGCCGATTCCTTTGTAACTTATTCCAAGCCACCATGGGATTCCTTGTTTATCCTGAAAAATGGGATGTCTACGTCAACCAAGAGCTACTTAAGAATGAGGCAATTCCAAGATTAGAGCCCTTTTCACTCTGTGACAAGCACAAGTAGGTACAGAACAAGGATTTTCTGGCAAACAAATTGAGGTGAAGTGGATTGCTGGGGTGAAGGTGGAAACTTTCTCCCAGAGGCACAAACCCAGGTGGTGGCTGTGCAATGTGGGCAGAAAAGCAAGAGTGCTGCTCAAACAACGGGGTGTCACTGGAGGAGTGGCTGTGAAGGGGAAGGACAGGGGACAGAAAAAAACTGTGGCCACTGACTGCTACTACCACTAAATTCAGGCATGGACAGCCACAGGAGACACCAGCACAAAACATCAGCTTCTCAGGTACCACAGTCATGGCCATGACTCAAAAGTAAGGAGACATCATCTCTGCTGAGCTCTTCTGCACAAAGCACTTTGGCCCCGGCTCTGCTCTACAAGTGGGAATAAATGGTGTATTTCCATCACTCTCCAAAAGTATTTCTCAGCATTTCCCCACTCCAAGCACGCACCACTAATCACCTGCCACTTAGGAGGAGTCTTTTCCACATTCTATTTTTCTAATCTTGATTAATGTCTCTGGGGAAACTGTTAACTGCTTCAAGTCTAGAAGTGATATCCAGTTTAATTAAGATGATAGGAATTTAGCTCCTGATAGGATTACATAAAGGTTTTACAAAGATTCCTTTCTGCTGTCTGGAAACAATTTTTAAAGTACATTGAACGGGGAAAAATTACAGAGGTTGAAAAATGTGGGGTTCCATACTGATAGAAGGGCACTGAATCATGCAACTGCTCCTTCAGGAATGCAATCCCTCATAATAAGCTCAGCAATCACATTATCTGTAGTCAGTTACTGACCTTTACTCCATAGTAATGAACTCCATATGTTGGCAAAGCTTCTACCACTTTCATGTACCTGCAGACAGATTTATAGCATATCAGATTATTTTCTCTGGAGGAAGTAATATCTATTAACATATTTTTTTCACACATACATCCAGGACACGTCATTTATCATCTGCATATTTTGAAGGCCTTAATAGCTGAAGGCCCATATTTTCAGAAAAAACTTAGCATCTTGGCTTGGGGAAAGATGGGGTATTTTGGCCCAGCTAAAGCAAAAGGAAAATTTCTCATACAACAGAAAATTCAATCTTTTATCAGAAGGTCATAGAAGTGAAAGCAAAAATTCTGAACTGAACATGTGAGCCTTTTGGGAAATGTTGGCAGTAAAGACCTGCCTATAATTATTCCATTATGAAGTTCTGGTTACAAAGGACAGGCTCCAAATGAATATGTTTATGCCATTGTACAACTGTTTCATGAGGCAATTCATAAAACCACTGAACAGACCATTTTTCCCTTGTTTCTACTGAAAAAGGACCACAAATTATTGAGACAGATTTACAGGCATTGAGGTACGTGAGAAAAAGTGCAAGGAGTCTGCACTGTGCAGTCATGGCCATCATCTCAAACATCTCATAACACATCCTAGTGCATCTGCTTCAGGAAGAGCACTAAATATTAATGGTAAATGAAAAATACAATTCCACAGGCTCAGTGGGCAGCTTGGAAGACCTTGATGTTTTGAAAGCCAAATTCTGAACATGTCAGAATTTTTAGAGGACTTAGGGTAATATGTACCCTTAAGAGTTTGGAGTGAAAATTAATTGATGTCAAGCAAGGTATGGAGAAGAATCTTCCAATAAAATAAGATCCAAATAATTTCTTTTGTATTTGAAGTACCGAAATGTCTACACAAATGCTGAACTGCAAGCCTGTGAAATGTGAGACTTCAAATAATTCCACTTTGCCACGTAACTCAATAAAAAGAGAATCTGACAGATACAAACGACATCATTTTCAGGCAATAATGACCTAAAGAGTCTGCCTTGCCACTTCTCAACCAAAAAAGAACAGGAGAAAAGTAAAAATATCATCTTCACAAATTAACAAGTGTCATACTCACTGAACAATGGCTTGTCCTCTGGTCAGACCTTTAATTTGTGTATAATGCTCAATTACTCTGTCCTCACTGCAAACCAAGCACAAAACCCAATTTAGAGGCTCAGTGACTTCGTTCATGTGTCGAAGCTCAGACACCTGCTCAGCATGCAGAGAAGGGTCCCCATGCATGTTTCTTGCTCTAGTTTACATTCTGGTTCTTGCAGATTTCTTTCCCACCCTTCATTAGGCAGTGTGGAGCTGCCTGGCTGATCCCCTCCATCACATTCTGCCTTCCAGACCCATTAACCAACCATTTCAGATCAGCCTGTTCTGCTGCAGATGCTGCTGCAGAAGAATGGTGCTAATTGTGTAAATTCATCTTAATGTTCTAAAGGACCCAGACTTCAAAGGCTGGTTAATGCTCCATATGTAAGACAGAAGAAGTTCAACCAGAGCTGTTTTCATTCCCGTCTATTTTCTCCCCCTGACATTTCATAGGTGAAGAAAACCACACATTTGTCAGCAATGACCTTCTTGCATTTTTCCTGTTACATATTTCAACATTTTGTTTCGGAGGAATGTGAAATAAAATATGCATTTCTGTGTCAGACACTTGAAAGCAAAGAAAAACCCAGCAGTGTTCATTCAGAAACAAACAAATAATAAGCAAGCATGGTATACTTGAAAATCCATCACGTACACATCAAGCCTAAAAAACCAAAACAAATGAGGAGGTTGAATTTGCACAAAGGGCATAAATTCCAAGGAAACAATATCACTGATTCATCCTAAATGCTGTGTTCCTTTTACAGTGAATTCAAGCCCCAGAATTGGAACTGTCTTTCTCTTTCCAGCCTTTCTAGATTATTTTCTTCCCCTGTCCTGTTGAGAGGAGCTGGGTGGGCAGCTGGCAGCCAGCAAAGGTCAGCCCACCACAAAGGCTCCACTGTGTGACAGATGAGACTGAGGTGCTCTCTGCAAACCCAGGCCTGGCTGGAGTTCAGACCTCTGCTCCTTCTATTGCAGGGTCCCCACAAACTCTGATCCAGCAGTTTCTGACACAGCAATTTAATTTGAGCAAACTTTCAAGGGGGAATTTGCATCAGATCTTGCATAATTTATAATCTTCTAAAAACTGGAAATGCTTGAACATGAGGAATCAGCTCCATGTCCTGGGCTGAAAACTTTTAGAGGAGTTTGCAAACTGCTTAAAAGTGATCTTCTTGTTATCATTCACAGCAATGATTTACATTTGAAATTAAACAGCTCACCAGTAGGCAAGTGATGGATGCTCCTGCAGTGTCTTGGTAGGAAAGACAGGCAGTGTCTTCAAGTCTTTTCTAGCGTTCTCATCACTGAAAAAGCAAAAATGGCCCAGAGTCAGTGCTAGTGAATCAGAGATGGACTCATTAGTCTGGGCAGAAGGAAGGGCTGTATTTGCTGCTCACAAACGTGGAGTGCTGCCCCATGTCAGGCTGTCATAGCAACGTAACTCTAGATGTCCTCTCACATGACAGTGATGGATATGGTGTCATGCTCATTATACACACACGTGATGCTCAGGCCACCACCATATCAATATTTATTCTGCACACCCTCATTCTATTTGCTGAGTGCAGAATGAGCCATGAAACAGCTGTAGGAAAGCCCAAAAGTAAGGCTTGCAGTGCTAAGTTTTGCTCTGTCTTCAACAATACAATTCATGAAGCAGTGTGATATTTGTTAAATCACAGAAGTTTAACAGTGATCTGATTCAAAACAAAGAGTTTCAGTTCATACACTTTCAAATATTCCAGTGAAAATAGTTCTCCTGGACTGCCCATTGTACAGAAAGTTCAAATATTCTGAACTCTAGGCCCAACCTGAAATGAATACGGGGGGGGCTGAAGTATGTGAATGCAATTTGTCACGACAAAACCCCGGCAGAATATTTTAAAACGTATTTACAGGCATCAGTAAAATGGTTCATATTTTCTCCTCACATGGTCCATTAGTTAATCAGCTGAAACCTGCACACCCCATCTGGGCAGGATTTCTGCATGCCTTCAGCACCAGCAAGCACCAACACGACTTTTCTATGCAAAGAATGCACCAGTCACGTCCATCAGCATCCGCCTCAACTTTGCCCAGGCTTTCCTTGAAGGTGTTTTTTTCTGCTCCCAACCTCTCTTCTCACCAGACTGAACTGTCAGAGTTTTCACCAGAGCTATGTCCCCCTCTGCCATGGGCACTGAGGATGAAGCTCTGCACATGGAGGACACAGCAACCCTCCCTCCATGACTCCATCTCCCAGATGCCACATGGAAAACCAGGAGATGAAAGGTTGCTTTGTTTTGGTTTTTTGTTCCTTGGGAGCACAGGCTAGTGGCTCTGCAAGGCTCTTCCCCAGCCCTGACAATGAGCCTCAGCCCTGAGTAAGGGGGACCACCTCTGGGGACAAGGAAACAGTTCAATCAACAGCCTATTTATTCTTCCACGTCTTTGATGAAGCTGCCAAGAAAGGGTCAATTAGCACCGAGGAGTGCTGCTTGCTGCACTCTTCTGCCAGGAATATCCATTTTTCTTTGCAAGCTGGCCAGCACCCAAGCGCCACAAACAGGGACAGCTGGGTAGAAAATCAGGATCTCTCCTTCCAGCGCTCAAATACAGCCAATGCTCACAAAGGCTGAGTTTTATTCACCCCTTGCAGGCCTATTTTGATGGGATCAAAAGGCTGCAGGACATCTCAGCTTGCAGAGAGAAGGTGGATTACCAGGGGTTTGTTGGAAATGGAAATGCAGACAGAGAGCACACTCTTCTGAGGCCTCAGAAACCAGAGCAAAGAATAAAAAAACAACAACAACAACACAAAAAAACCCCAACAACAACAAAAAAAACCCAACAAAAAACCCCCAAAAAACACAAAAAAAACACCCCAAAACCAACCAACCAAAAAAACCTGAAACACACACACACACCAAAAAACCACACAACCCAAAAAACCCCAAAACAAAAAAACAACAACAAAATACAACATGGCCTGAACACCCTCTTAAAGCTGAATGGCTTGGCCCTCCAAGGTCCTGTCCAGCTTCAATCATAGACTCACAGGATAATTGATAATTAAACCACAATTTTCCTCCTATTTTTAAACCTGATTTATCTCTGCAATGGCTGCTCTAGCAGGCAGAGTTGGCAGGGAACTACAGCAAAGCAGGAGAGGTTTTGGAAGGAAGTACTAACAAAACAGCTCATTTTTACCAAACAGAAGGGCTGTTTCTGTAAATGTAGATTCTCAGCCTCGTATTCATAATCAGAGGTTTAATGGGTGGTCATTAAACCCTTATTTAGTAATCTGGTTTTAAGGGCTGAGGCAATAAGGAGGCTGATGCTGGGAAGCCAGGGCTGAGCTCTGGTAGAGCAGGGGACAGCTGACACCCAGCTGTCACCACTACACATGGGTGGAGAGGTCCCAAACTCTCCTTCCCCAACCTCTACAGGGCCAGGAGCCTCCCCACCACTGAGAGTCTGCAGAAATGCCACAAATCCTGGCAGATGCATCTCCCATGCTCTGAAATGCCACCTTCTGCAACATTTGCAGCCTCCAACAGCACTACTCCCCTTCCTGTTTGGGCTCCTCACCCCTCTGGTTTGGTTTTTGGACCCCCTGCCTCTCTAAATCTGGCTAAGTAGCAACTTTATCCTCATCAATGCCAAAACAAGGGTGCTAGTTAAGCCTGAGTGATGAGTAGCAGCTCATCAGTATGAAAATGTCTACCATCGAATTTAAATTTTGAGGGCCAGCCAGCAAAGCAGCCTCCGAGCAGGGCCTGTGGGCTCTGAGCTGGGACATGCAGTGATCAAAGGGCTGTCACCACTTCTGTGCCATGGCAGGGGACACATCCCTGCAGCACTGACCCAGAGCCACAGCCCTGCTGCAGACTGGCAGCAGGCAGAGGCCACAGGGCTGTGACAGCTCACAGCAGAGCTGGGCCTCCTCTCTTCTCCTGCCAGCCTACAAACCCATCCATTTCTCGCAATAACACCGATTTTATGAGGCAAAATTGGCTCCTGGGACTTGTCTTCCTCACAGGACCCAACCTCACCTCCTGAGGTTCAGACACCATCCCATCCACAAGCACTGGGAGAAGTCCATCCAAATGCACTTATAAGGGCTGAAACTCTCTGAGAAGCAACAGGAGGATTTTTTTCCTCTCTGCATAATTGTAACATCAAGCATGAAACAATCCTAGAAAAATGTAAAAGACCTGGGAGAGACAGGGCACAGCTCCTTGCAGGCTGGATGCCTTCAGACAGCGCAGGCTGGCACGCAGCAGCCTGGATCTGCTGACTGCACGGCTCAGGATTAGCGCTAAGGATGATTCACGGCTCTCAGGGATAATAATAAAAGCCTCAAATGGTCCTCCCCCTCCTTCCACAGAGTCCATTATCACTTCATCTGCACCAAGCAAGTCTCCCCTTGACCTTCAGGATCACTTTCCCAAGCCCTCCGAGACCCAGCTGTTCCCCAGAGGTGACAACTCCCGATAGCAGGAGGGCGCTTTGAGTGATGACCTGTTCCTGTTTGGTTTCACAAGGACCACGAGATGATCCAGCAATCCCAGGGCAGACAGCCCTGGCTCCAGATGTCCCACCATCCCCATTATCTGCCAGCCCAACACCCAGTGCTGTATCTGGCATGTCCATGGTGGGTTCCCACCAGGAGGAGGACGTGGCTGTCGGGACAGGGAGGCCCAACTCACGTTTAATCTGACCCCTGCTACAGAGGGGGTTTCTGGACTGGTGGTTTTTGGCATAATTTCAATATATAAACTGCCCAGAGTCAATGGGACTGAACATTTTTTGGCAAAAGGTTTGTTTATTCCCCAGGAGGAGAATATAGGAAACTCTCAACTCAAGTATTTTTCCACTATGGGGAAGAATTAAACAAAAGCAGCAGACAGACCCTTTCCTTCCTATTCCACCCTCTAAACAGGAGTTTTCTCTCTGGCAGATACAAAGCAGAACTTGAATCAATCTGGGCAATGCAAATGGAAATAATGAAAATCTGCATCAGAGCCTACTCACACTGAACCTCAACTTGCACTCCTGGTACTGCCCATAATTAATTCTCTGTCCCAACATGATCAAACATTGGGCAAGATGCTGTCCCCAGCACGCCCTGCTCGTCAGTGCTAGCTCTATGGAGAGGGAGCTTGATTCTAAAACAAGCAGGTAACATGATTAAAAATATTTAATCATGTATCATACTATCAGTAGGACTTCTCACTTGAAACTCCAGCAGCAAAACAGGACCAATCTCAGGAGCTTTCTACACCCTGCTTATGTTACAGTGAGATTTCAGGCATCTTGCTAAAACCCCCACCAGAAATCCACCAAGGAACCAAGCCAGACCATCGTGGCACGCTCTGCCTAGAGCGCATTACTGAAAATTAAAAAAGGGTTTACATATTTATGCCCCCAGAAAGTGCGTCTTGACAGCTTGTAATGGAATGATCTAACACTCCCTGCCAGGCAAAGATTTACAGAACTGTGCTAATTAGGACCATTTGTCAATAGGTGCTCTGGGCTTCCCTGCACCCACTGTCAAAAACCAGCTTATGGCCCTTGCTAAAGCAGGTAAGAGCTTAGATGGAGTAAGATGTGGTTAATGAGAGTAACAAAACGTGCAGAGCAAGCAACACACCCAGCAGCAAAACCCTTCTATTGGACTGCAGTGTAGAAGCTTATCAGCCCACAGATTCTTTGTAAATATTAACAACTTGACGAGGACAGGACTTCAGACAACTCTTAACTGACTAAAGCAAGGGCAGGTGTGTCTGCCTCTGCTGAATTTGTGTTTATAACACGTTATAAGGTACAAATTTATCACTAGGGAAAGTGCACTGTATAGCAACTTTATTCTTGGAGTTCCTTGACCTCACACACTTTCTCGTGTTGCTACAGGAAAATTGGAATAAGTCACTCCCAGGTTCTCCTAAATGTCATTTTCTTATATTCAGTTAAATCTTTAAATGAATTTTAGGCATAACACAGGTAGAATTTAGAGTGGCCTTGCCTGTAGAAAATGCTAATCAGCCTCTCAAAATTAACCTGGAAGTTATGTCATGGACACCTAAATATCAGCAAATATAGAATTATGTATGATTCAGGGAAACGTGCAGCTGCACAGCAAAAGTATGATACACTATTACCCTACATCATGAAGATGAGTCAAAGCATTTCCATTAGGATTTGTCACCTCATTCTCTTCAAGATTTTTAGAGCCAGGAAAAGAAATACTCCAAAACAGCACAAAATTAGAGCAGATGCTTGAAAGCTTGACAATCAAGGGTTTCAGAGGGTCAGATTATTC